GGGTTATCTCGCTTACCGCAGGACTTTCAGGACTTCTAAAAGTTTTCCTGACCCTGAACAGTCCTGACCAGCTGTTTAAAAGTGGTAGAACCTCCCGTTATCTCCACTCACAGTCCAATTTGTGCAGAAATCCAGGTAGTTCCAAAGGGTTCACATCCTTTTTCTTACAACTGTACTTGTTGTTGTTGTTGTTAAGTCACCCGAAGCGCCTCAGGATTATCCTGAGTAGCGCTAGACTTCTATTCGGGAGGCTTCTGAGTTCGCCGAAGTCATTCCCCAGCTGACGATGATGCCGTTCCACCATAAGCGCCGGGCAGCGGAGCCACAGATGTTCGGCCGATTCTTCGTCCTCTCCGCAAAGTCGGCAACGCACGTCCTCCCACCTCCCTAAGAGGTATTCCCAGCGTCTGAAGGAGGGGTGGTGGCCGGACCGGAAGCGGATCAGGTCGATGAGGTCTTTCTTCGACAGCGAAAATTCTTCAGCGAGGTTGGGTTTCGAGGATAAAAGGGTGGCAAGACGTGGGTGAGACTGTACTTGTTGCACCGTCTGCATCTGTTCACAAAGTAGTCCCATTAGTGAACTTCCCAAAAAATATGATGGAATCGCAGTTTAGACGGCAGCATGCTAATGTACATTGACTGTGTGCAGATTGGCAGTGTCAGCTGTCAGAGTGAATAGTCACTAATGTTGATGGGCATTAGGACGATCTGTTGGGGGCTTGATTTCCCCTCAGCAAGATTACATCAAATCATCCCCTTTGCTTCCTTGATGATCATGTCTTTCGAAGTTGGCATGACAGTATACACAATGAGAGCCTTAAACGAGAAGATGAGAAAAATGGCAAACCAAAGACAGAGTGAAGCAAAACAGCATAATAGTGTATGGAAGCGATGAGCTTACTACAACCATTCTGAGTAAGTGAAATGAAGAAATTATTGAATTTATAAATTGTGTTGGTTGCCCTGGGGCTTTATAGATTGCATCTCTTATATAAAACATTGGAAAAGAGACTTCCAGATGTGTTAGAAAATGTGTTTAAACTCACACAAAGGTTTTTTGTTTTTTTTTAATACGCCATTCATTGCAGATGGGTCAGACGAGGCATTTCAGTCTTGCTGCCACATGGAAGAGGCATTGAAACCCACAAGCAGGATTAACCATCTGCCCAAACGCTGGCGGTAGTTGCCTGGCGGGTAACTTGTGGCAATTGGTTAGAAAAAGAAAGGGTTTACTGATATACACGGTCCGGCAAAATGATCTGACACATTTGTAGGTTAAATAAATACATACATACATACATACATACATACATACATACATACATAAATAGTAGTGTGAAAGAAGTTTTATTCTGAAAATGAGGTGCATTTGCCTGTGCATCTGTCAAAATGAGTTAAAAAAACAAACCTATTTGGGGGGGGCTTTTTCAAAAAGGGGAAAAGATAATTTCTCAGAAAAAAAATGAACCTGTATTTCAGAGACAATATCCACAGTCTTACTGAAGTTATGAGTTTATTGCTATTCCAAACATGGTCTGATAATGCAGTATCGCCATCATGCCTGTGGAGTTTTTTGAAAGGAAAAAAAAAAAAAAAGATTTTCGGCAAACTAATTACAGCAACTCCATTCAATTCAGTTGTATGTATGATGGTAAATGTACCGTCACTTCATCGTGCTTTGCTCCCTTCGGTACTTAAAATGCTTCTGAATGTTTCCTCATTTACCTACTGATGACACAACATCAGGAGGAACTCGGGGTTCAATATCCTGCTCAAGGCCATTTCGACATGGTCGCAATGGCTGGGGATTGAACCACCAACCTCTGGGTTGGGAGATGACCACTGAGCCATGCCCCCAGGAATTGTTTTAATCCGTTCTTTGTCAATACAGTAATCCCTCGTTTATCGTGGTTAATGGGGACCAAAACCACCCGCGATAAACGAAAATCCGCGAAGTAGCGTCCAATTAACATAAACAGGTTAAAAGTCCGCAAACAGTCCGCAAGAAGCTGCAAAACAACAGCGAGTCACATAGAGCAACATATACAGTACTGTACTCCAGGTATATTAAA